CGGATTCCGTCGTTGTCGTCGTCGTCGGTGTTCTTCGTCGTCGTCGGTTTTCGTCGACGTCGTCGTCGGTGTGCGTCGGCGACGTCGGTGTTCGTCGTCGTCGTCGGTGTTCGGCTTGAGTCGTCGGTGTGCGTCAGCGTCGTCGGCTTTCGTCGTCGTCGTCGGTGTGCGTCGGCGTCGTCGGTTTTCGTCGTCGGCGTCGTCGGTTTTCGTCGTCGTCGTCGTCGGTGTTCGTCGACGTCGTCGTGGTCGTCGTCGGCTTACGCGTCGTCGTCTTCGTCCGTTGTCGTCGTCGTCGTCGGTTTGCGTCGTCGTCGTCGGGTCCGTCGTCGTCGTCGTCGTCGTCGGTATTCGTCGGCGTCGTCGTTTTTTGTCGTCGTCGTGGGTGTTCGTCGGCGTCGTCGTCGTCGGTGTGCGCCGGCGTCGTCTGTTTTCGCCGTCGTCATCGGTTTTTCTCGTCGTCGGTTTTCGTCGTCGTCTTCGTCGGTTTTCGTCGTCGTCGTCGGTGTTCGTCGTCGTCGTCGTCGGCTTACTCGTCGTCGTCTTCGTCGGTTGTCGTCGTCATCAGTTTCCGTCGTCGTCGTCGTCGGTTTTCGTCGTCGTCGTCTGTTTTCGTCGTCGGTCGTCGGTGTGCGTCGGCGTCGTCGGTTTTCCTCGTCTTCGTCGGTTTTCATTGTCGTCGATTTGCGTCGTCGTCTCCGTCGGATTCCGTCGTCGTTGTCGGTGTTCGTCGACAGAGTCGTCGTCGTCGTCTTACTCGTCGTCGTCGGTGTTCGTTGTCGCCGTCGGTTTCCGTCGTCGACGTCGTCGGTGTGCGTCGGCGTCGTCGGTTTTCGTCGTCGTCGTCCGTCGTCGGTGTGCGTCGGCGTCTTCGTCGGTGTTCGTCGTCGACGTCGGTTCTCGTGGTCGTCGTCGTCGGTGTTCTTCGTCGTCATCGGTTTTTGTCGTCGGTGGCGTCGTCGGTGTGCGTCGGCGTCGTCGGTTTTCGTCGTCGTCGGTTTTCGTCGTCGTCGTTCGTCGGTGTGCGTCGGCGTCGTCGGTTTTCGTCGTCGTCGTCGGTGTGCGCCGTCGTCGTCGGTGCATATTATCGTCGGTTTTCATCGTTGGCGTCGTCTGTTTTCGCCGTCGTCGTCGGTGTGCGTCGACGTCGTCGTCTTCGTCGTCGGCTTACTCGTCGTCGTCTCCGTCGGTTTTTGTCGTCTTCGTCGGTTTTTATTGCAGTCGGTTTGCGTCGTCGTCTTCGTCAGTTTCCGTCCTTGTTGTCGGTGTTCGTCGACGGCGTCATCGTCGTCTTACTCGTCGTCTTCGTCGGTGTTCATTGTCGTCGTCGGTTTGCGTCGTCGTCGGTGTGCGTCGGCGCCGTCGGTTTTCGTCGTCGTCGTCGTCGGTCGTCGGTGTTTGGCGTCGTCGTCGGTTGTCGTCGTCGGCGGCGTCGGTGTTCGTCGTCGTCGTCGTTCGCCGACGTCGTCGTCGACGTCGTCGTCGTCGGTGTGCGTCGGCGTCTTCGTCGGTGTTCGTCGTCGTCGGTTTTCGTGGTCATCGTCGTCGGTGTTCTTCGTCGTCTTCGGTTTTCGTCGTTGTTGTCGTCGTCGGTGCGCGTCGGCGTCGTCGGTTTCCGTCAGCGTCGGTCGTCGGTGTGCGTCGGTGTCGTCGGTTTTCGTCGTCGTCGTCGGTGTGCGTCTTCGTCGTCGGTTTTTATTGTCGCCGGTTTTCGTCGTCGGCGTCGTCTGTTTTCGTCGTCGTCGTCGTCGGTGTGCGTCGACGTCGTCGTCGTCGGCTTACTCGTCGTCGTCTTCGTCGGTTGTCGTCGTCGGTTTCCGTCGTCGTCGTCGTCGGTCGTCGTTGTCGTCGTCGTCGGTGTGCGTCGTCGTCGTCGGTTTTCGCCGTCGTCGTCGGTTCTCATTGTCGTCGGTTTTCGTCGTCGTCTCCGTCGTTTTTCGTCGTCGTCGTCGCGTGGCCGAGGCGATGGCGCGGCGCCTTCTCGGCCTCGGCGGCGCGCCTCCTCTCCTCCTGGCCGCGCCGCACGGCCGGCCCGCGGGACGCCGGGGGCGCGCTCCGCCGCCGGCCCTTGGGCACCGCTGCAAGACGCGGCCGCTGCTGCCGCAGCGGCTGCGGCCGCTGCTGCTCACACTCGAAGGGAGGACTCCGACGTGGCAGTGTCCCCCCGCCCCGCCCATGCCCAGACACCCGGCGCCTCGACTGTTTCGAGGCACGGGCCTCCGACCTCTCGCCAGCTTCCCCGGGACCAATTTTGCATCCCGGATCGTTTTTCGACGGTCCCGAGGCCAGGTAGGCGCCCCCAGAGGCCGAACACGATGAAAAACCTACATTCTCTCTCCAAGACGACCGATGTCTGTGTGGAGCTCTTGGAGGACTCTTGAAAATCGACCTCGGGGAAATCGGACTCATCCAAGGGTGCTCTCACTGGCTCCATCTCATGCAGATCCTGCTGCGGCACCTGTTCCCGCTGCAGCGGGGGCGCTCCCGCCAGGCTGAGCAGGAGCAACAGGCCTCCGAGCCGCCGCGACAGCCTTCTGAAGCCACTCGAGCGTCGCCAACGCCTCCTCTTGGCGGCGTGCAAGGGTAGGGGGAGGGGGGGAAGCTTCTTAGAAGGCCGCTTCTTGAAGGCGCCGGCCTTTTACATCTGTAGAGAGGGCCCGCGCCTTCTAAGAGGCGGGGGTGCTTCCAAGAAGCCTTCCCCCCTCCCCCTACCCCCTCCGCGCGTGGCCGACACACGGGGCTCACGGTGATGAGGGGCTCGCCTCGGACGCGCACGATCCTGACTGCGGTGTGCATTCGAGGTTCCACAAGTCTGCAGCTGTCGTGATGGCAGGGCACACTCCACTCGTCAGAGACCGCAAGTCGCGATTCACTCGGCACGCGTGCTGGGACACGAATTTCGAGCCCCGCGGCATCAATCCACCAGCAATCGGAGGGGCGTGGCGGGGAGGCCGTCACTTGTCAGTCACAAGCTGACATCAGTGGTGGAACGGGCAAGGGTGAGGGGCAACGAGAAGGGGGGGACTGGCTTGCGGGGGTGCGTCAACCTGTAATCGGCGAGACATCGGCGATCGATCGGCGATAGGCCTGCGATCGTGAATTCACACCTTCCTGGGCAGGTTGGGGCTATCGGGCCCCTATCGGCGATCACTGGGCGATCGGGGGGTCGATGCATCTCCCCGTATGCCTATCCCCCCCTATCGTTGCCCCCGAGGTGAGGGCATTGTCTTCAAGATTTTTGCTGTATACCACACCCTCCCCGCCCCAGTCAAGTTCCACCGGCCGGGGCCACTTCCAGTGTACAAAAGCCATGCCCCGGGAAGGGAACTTGTATACCAGACCCACGACCAGGACCCTCGCTCGCCCCTTGGGGCTTTTGGGGTATGATATACAATTTTCGGGCGGACAATGGATGCCGTGAGATCCTGGCGTCTCCGTTTGGTCGAGCTGCGCGTTTTCGCTCCGTTTCGGGCCCTGGGAGCCTCACAGATCGATCTGGCTCGACAAATCGCGCAGAAGGATGGGGTCTAGGGCGCCGGCCGAGATTTTTCGCGATTAAGTGTTCGCTACGTCGGAGCCCAGGGGATGAGGAAGCCTTGGATAAAAGGAATCCAGGGCCTGGAAACTGATGAAACTCAAACCGTGGATTGGCCATGGGCATCACCTCCGCCCTCGTCAGATGAGGCATCCTCCAGGGCCTGAAGCCTCCTGGGCACACTCCTGAACCAACTCCCCCACAGTACCGGTCTTCCACACGGGCCGGAAGCAGCGGGCTTAAGTCGGGCGTGCCCCCCTCCAGACGGATTTTGGACGAAAACAGAAAAACACCCCAAAAGCAATCTTTAAAAAAGTGGCGAACACATCGCCCCCTGACTATTTTTGGGCTATTTTTGAATATTCCCCCCGCAGAGCGACAGGCCCGACTTGATGGGCCTGTTTTCCACCACCACCACCATAAGTTGGAGGGGGAGGGTGCCCTCCTCTTCCTCCTCCTCCTCCTCTTCTTCGTCCTCCTCCTCCTCGTCCTCCTCCTCCTCCTCCTTCCCAACTTCAACTTATGGTGGTGGTGGTTGAAAACACGCCCATCACGACTGAACAGCAGGGAGGCGTCGGAAGCAGACCGCGTGCTCTCGCCCGCCCGCTGCGGGAGGAGGCGAGGGGGGCAGCCGATCGACCCCGGAGGTACGGAAGGCGCCCGGAGAGTGGGTCGGCATCGGCAGATCCAGAAGCAAAGGCCTCTCAGCTGGTGTCCTCCTGCTCCTCCTCGTCCTCCTCCTCCTCCTCCTCCTCCTCGTCCTCCTCCTCCTCGTCCTCCTCCTCCTCCTCCTCCTCCTCCTCCTCCTCCTCGTCCTCCTCGTGTCGGATGATGGCGCTGCATCGGTGATGCATCGGCGATGCACGGGCGACGTCGGCGATGCATCGGCGACGCTGGCGTGGAGGAATCAGGCTCCACATCGAGCCGCATCGCCGATTCATCGGCAATGCGGCGGCATCCTCCGGCCCCGCCCACTCCGACCCCATGTGGGAGGCCTACAAGAAATACCCACTTGCAACGACCGATGGGCACGATCGGCAGATCGGTGGCCGAGTGAATCTTTTCGAGTCTCGGGCCCCCCGACCTCTCGATCGATTCCCCACAGTCCACAACACTGGCTTTCCATCCTGCATCGTTTTTGATGGCCTGCCGCCGACGCACCGAATCTGAGCGCCCATCCCTATGGGCCTCGCGTCCAAACGTAGCCATCCTGTTCCCAGAATTGAGCGCGCTGTGGCCTCAAGCAAGCCTGAATTGACACACGCCATTGATGCTTGTAGCGGCCCCAAGAGGCAGGGATGCTTGCAGAGGCTTCAACGTCGATGCTCTTACGACACTTCTTGGGAAGCCCTGACGTCGTCGTCGTCGTCGTCGCCGTCGGGCCCAAGAGGGCCCCGAAAGGCAAACGTTCTGCCTTCGAAGGGCCCCCTCACTGGAGGCACAAACAGCAACACAGACATAAGCTTTCGGGACTGCGTGCAGACGTCTCCTTCGTTTTGCTCTTCCCCTCAGGCACGCGTGAGCTGCACCGGATCTGGAATCCGTGGCCCGTGGCCCGAAGTCTGGGACAGGGAGGCGGAGGACGAGAAGGAGGAGAAGGAGGAAGAAAAACATAGGAGGAGGACGAGGAGGAGGAGGAGGAGAAGGAGGAGGCGAGGAAGAGGAGGACGAGGAGGAGAAGGACGAGGGGGAAGGTGGAAAAAGATGGGATCCCGTGCGGGCGCGGAAAAACGCATCGGGCGGCACTACGACCACTTCGCGGTAGAGCTACGGGCGCTCATGTTCTCAAGCATCGACTGCACGACTGCGAGGTCCACCGCCCTTGCGGGCTGCTTCAGCAAAGCAGCGCCCTGCAACAATTCCTCCAGAGAGATCAGCCCATCTCCATCCTGGTCCAGTATGTCGAATACCTTATCTACGTCGGACAGGTTCAAGCCCATGGCGCCCAGCCATTCTCCCACCTGCTTATTTTCCAAGACCCTCCTGAGCTCGCCAGGGTCCACCAGCCCATCATCGTTCTCATCTGCCTGGTAGAAAAATTCAGTCAACTTCGAGCGCTCCGCCTTCGCCGCTCTCCTGACCTCATTCAGCATGATACTATCGTCGAGAGCCGCGACTTTGAACGTTTCGTTCAGGAACACGCCCGAGATTACTTCGATCACCGCAAACCCGAATACCAGCTGATGGCAGATGCCGAATAGCATAAACAGCTCGTTGAATCCTGTGAGAATTCGCGTGACCACAAACCAGTTGCCCAGCAGCATCTCAATCATTGACAACAACGCTTTGCTGAACGTGCCAAAATACTCGTAGAGCATCTCCCTGTCTTCGAGGTCATAGTCCTCAGCCTCCCAATAATCCTTCGTAAGAAGGTTGAGTGCCAAAGCTAACATCATCTCGCCTAATAACACCACAGCGCTCGCCCACCCGAGGGCCGACACACTGCCTCTGATCGACTGCAGCATCAGGTAGAGCGACCCGAAACCTTTGATTGACTTCACAACCGAAGAAATCGCAACAGCCGCGCCATCCGTGCCAAGCGGATCAAGGTCGGCGGGAATGGAAGGTCGCTCGAGAGAGCCTCGATCCAAAAGAAGATTACTACGAGGGCGTCGATCGCACTCCAGGAGTCCTTCAGGAACTTCTCTGGTATGGCTATCAACTTGAGCGCGAGCTCGGCTGTAAACAAGACGCCGTAGAACCACTCGAGCACAACGAAAACACGTTCGGCCCCTGGCCAGGCTTTGTCGGCGGGCTCCGTCATGCGCGGCGCCACCCCGAAGTGGTAGCCCGATTCCATGCCCTGGTACTGAGCCTCGGCCGCGATGCAGAGCGCGTTTAGCAAGATGACGACGGCCATGGTTCGAGGTGACCCAAAAGGCGGTCCAGCTGAAAGGGGGTGGTGCAATAGATTTGGAGCTATTGTATTGCAAATGTACTGTGCCGGAGACTCGTATTGCACTGTATTGCGAGTAATGTATTGCACCCGAAAATGCAGCAATACATCTGCGCCCCGAAATGTATTGCACGCCCCAAATGTATTGCAACCCCACAAATCGATTGCACCGAATCTATTGCACCACCCCATTGTCGCTGGACCCCTTTTGGGTCAACCCGAATGGTCAACTCAAAGCCGGTGCTGGTGACCACCCTCGCGAGCCCGTGGGTCTTCTCCTCATTACCGCCCCACAGTGACCGGTGGACGGCGCGTCGCCCTCGCCCGATTGAGGGGCAACGATAGAAGGGAACTGGCATAACTAGGGGGGGAACATCGACCTGTAATCGGCGATACATCGCCGATAGATCGGCGGTAGGCCCCCGATAGTGAATCCGCACGTTCCTGGGCAGGCTGGGGCGATCGGGCCCATATCGGCGATCAAAGAATAATTGGGGGTCGATGCATCCTCGGGGGCGGCCAAGGAAGGGGGCGTCCAAGAGGGTAGGGCGTAAGTTATGGCTGGCGGCACGTGCGCGGCCCGAAGGGGGGGGGCAGGGACGTAGTGAAAAAGAAGAGGCGCCATGAAATCTGAGGACACATCATGGCCCACGCCGTGATCTCCCCCCCCCCGCACCACGTCATCACCCCCCTCTTGGCCGCTCCCAGCATACCCTCCCATGCCCGTCCCCTCCTATCGGTGCCCCCGACCCCCTCCCGAGGCCGGGGCGAAGGCTGGCCGGCGCCGAGCTCCGCGCCCTGGCCGGCACCCACGGCCGCCGCGAGGCCTGCGGAGGCCGCGGACTCCAGGGAGGCACCAGAGCCCTCCGACCTGACTACCTACCGGACCACCCCAACCCGACCCGAAGGCCCGAATTCGACTCGCATTTCGGGTTGGGGGGGGGGGTACGGGGCCCGTGCGTTTTTTTCAATGTGTTCCTCGACTCCCCACCCCGACTGGAAATAGAGGGACATTTATTTGGACGCCCGACATGGGTACGGAAAAGATGGGTACAATGCCCAACAACAAATGTTGTCCCGAACCAACAGCGGCCGCTGTTGGGCAGGCGGCCTTCTGTCTCAAATGGACACAGGCCGCGGCGGCGCGGATAGCGAGTCCTGTTCAAAATGAACAGGAACTGCTGTTGAGCATTGTACCCATTCTTTCCGTGCCCATCCCGTTCGCGTAGAGGCAAGTTTGGGCCGTCGGGTTGGCTTGGGGTGCCCTGGTGGGTGGTGACGACCTGCCCGTGCGAGGGGAGCCCTCCGGAGTGCTCATGCGCGCCTCGGCCGCCCCGGGCCGGGGGCGCACCGTGCGCCCGGGGCTGCCCGGGGGCGACGGGGCCACCGCGCCCGGCAGCCCCGGGCCGCCCGGCGGCCGCGGGGGGCCGTGGGCCGCGCTGGCCGCCGCCCCGTCGCGGAGGGACGCCTCTCGGGGGCTCCAGGGTGTTGGTCGGCTATACGCAAGAGTGACCCTGGGTACAAGTGACCTGTGGTGCGCGACTTTTTGGGGGCCGCGGGGGGACCAAGCATGGGCGCGCAAGCAGCTACTGCTGCTCCGTTTTCAGTTATCTGGGGACACTTCTGCGCCCGCACCAAAGGTCACTCCGGCGAAAAATCACTCTTACGTCTAGTCGAGTTGGGCAGGGACCGACCGTCCCGGCATTCCTATAACAGCGTTCGTAGAACATGAGCCCGATGTGTCAAAACAAGACAGGCCCAGCCAAGACTGTTCTGAGAATCTTCCGTGCAGACCACAAACGGTTCTTAGAACATCTGTTGGTAGGCCTATAGGCGAGCCAGGACGGTTCGCCACTGCTTGAGGGTGGGGTCCTGAGAGATGGGGCCCTGAGGACGAGGTGCCTCAAGCAACACAAATCCTCCCTGGAACTCCTCTCCATCCTGTAAGTCCCTCCCCATCCCCTAGGGCCCCATCGTTGGACCGCCGCTTCTTGAATCTGGTTTCTGCATTCACATTACTGGTTTCTGAATTAAGAAAACTGGTGTGGGAATTCAAAGAACCGGTTCTTTGAGCTCAATGAAAACATGCTTGAACTCAAAAAAGAGCCTTGGCCACGGCGCCCACCAGCTCCGCGGTGGCCGAGCGGCAGGCGCCGCCGCAGCCGGCGGAGGCGCCCCCGCCCAGCGGGCGCGGCAGCCCCAGGCGGCACAGCAGCCGCTCGTGCTCGGCCCGCAGCTCGCGCAGCAGCTCCTCGAAGCGGCTGGTGTCCCCGCCGCCCATCGCCTTGCGAGGCGGCGGCTGGCGAGGGGGGGGAACGGGCGATGTCAGGGCGCAGAACTGCTGCGTCGCTGCTGTCTGCCCGGGCCGCCTGATCGCAAACGGCTTGAGCCAGAATGGCAACGGAAAGAGCGCGTTTCCTCATTTTCGGCGATGGTGGGCATCGTAGGGGGGGGGGAGGCAGGGAAGAGGGTAAAACGTAACGCCTCCCCCCGCCGTGCGCACGGCGGTAGTGCCCAGAGCGCACTGGGGGGGGGGGTACGTTATGGGGGGGGAAGGGGGGCTGGGGGCTATAATGCTCAGTATGCCCCAAGCATTAAAGAAGCACGCTCAAACTCTGGACTCCCTCCCAGGCGCGCGGTTCGCGCCAAGGGCGGCGCCAGACTCGGAGATCCGACGTAGCGAAAAAAATGCAGCCGTGAGAAATCACGGCTGGAGCCCTAGATCCTATCTTTCTACGCTCTTTTTCAAGCCAGATCGATCTGTGAGGGTCCCCGGGCCCGACAGCAATTATTCGAACACGCCCAGCTCGGAAAATTTGAGACGCTAGGACCTCAGGGGAGGATCTCAGGGGAGGCGCCACCGCGGGGAGCCCAGAGCCCATCAAGCTCTAGGAAATCTGCGAACAGCGAACAAAAATAGGTCGGTGACGCATCTTGACGGCGCGAACAAAAGGGTGAGGGGTAAGGCTTCTTAGAAGGAGGCTGCTTCTTAGAAGGCGCCAGCCCTTGTAGACGATGCCCGCGCCCCCTCCCCCTACCCTTGGGGGGGCGACAGTGTAGCACAGCAAAGGACAGGGTAGAGACTCAGCTCTCGTGGCTGATTTTCTTGGCGCCTCCCGGCGCTGGGAAGCGCCCACGTGTCGAGGAATGTGCCAAGCGGAGGGGCGGAAACCAGCTACATGCGGCAAATGTTCTAACCGCCCCATTCCCTATCCTAACCTTGCCCCCCCCCTCCCCCGGGCGTGTCCTCCTACAGGCGGATCTTGGACGACAAATGAAACATATCAACAAATGATCAAAAACAATCAACAAGTTGTCAAAAAGTCGTGCCCATATAATTTTCGTGACTGTGTTGGAATATACCTCCTGTAGAGGGGCAGGCCCGACTTAACTCTGCGCGTGGCCGAGCATCCCACCTCCTCCTCCTCCTCCTCCTCCTCCTCCTCCTCCTGTTCCTCCTCCTCCTCCTCCCCCTTCCCCTCCTGGTCGTCGTCAATGTCTTTCAGGGTCGGCGGCACCGGCCGTCAGGCCTTCACAATAGATTGGGTTCAGGCCCGCCCAAAAGAACCTTTCCTGGCATGAGCGGGAGGCAGGGGAAAGGGAAGAGCTGCGCAAGAATTTGCAGCATCATCGCCATCAGATGCATTGTAGGCGAGCTCTCCGAACGCTCGCAAGGGCTACGTATGGACACGCGCCCCCGAACGTTCACACGCATATTCCTGATTACTCCTCGCTCCTCCGCATGAGGAGGACGACGGCGAAGACGACGACATGGGAAGGAGGGGGAGAAGGAAGAAGAGGCGGAGGAGGAGGAGAAGCAGCAGCAACAGCCCCAAGACGGCCCCAAGAGTGACACGAAACGGGGGGCCCGAACCCACGGGGCCCCCGTTCGGAGTTCCGACGCTGCTTCACGACGGCGCCCAGGCCTCACAACAGAATTAGCTCGTGCATTCGAGAGAGGGGCTGGCGGCAAGGGGCGAAGCCCTTACGATACGAATGACAAGCAAAAGCAATATCACATCGTCTCTTGAGGTACGGCCGGACCCAGGACAGAAGAACATCTTGTCAAAAACCTGAGACCCTCTCTTGACCAAACTGAAGAACATTCGAGGGTACCCTCCCCCAGGATGCGCAACATAACATCCAACAAACACGAAATACATTAGGGCACCCTCCCCGAACCGACGTCGATCTTATACCTCGGTCCGACCCTGGGAGGACGCTTGAAGCAGCGCGATGCAAAAGGGAAGAAGCAGAGTGATGGGTGTGCCGACATGGGGCAGAGGCGCCATGCGGACCCTGCCACACGAGCCTTGCTGTCGCCGTCGCACTCGCGACCCACCCGCGACCCCCGCGGGACTCACCCCGCGCCCGCCCTCTCACCCTTATCCGCACTTGGGGTGATCTAAACATCGGTACCTTCTCCCCCAGCTCCTGCCCCACAGCTCTTCCACTCCCTCCCCGCTGGGCCTCGCGCTCGGCCTCGAGCTCCGCCTCAAGCTCCTCCTTCACCTGCCACGCTGGTCGCAGCCGAGCCGCGCGGGCCGGCGCGCAATCGCGGCCCACCTCCCGCAACAAAAAGCCGAGTGCTGGCGAGGAAGGCGCGAGACAACAGGGCCCCCTCCACCCCCGAGATCTCCTCCTGGATCTCGGCCTCGGGGGCCCATTCTCGGGCCCCGGGGTCACGAAAAATGAACCCAGGGCACAAAAAGCGAACTCCGGGGAAGAGACCGCAAGGCCGGCCACGGCGCCCGAAAAAAGCGAACATCGACCGAACCGACAGCGGCATCGAAAACGACCGAAATAGACAGGCCGCAAGTAGCGTAGAAAGGCACAATGACGCCGCAACGACACAACACCCGGCCGAACCATACCGACATAACGCAACAGACAGCGACACAGCCGAGCCGACCGAACCATGAGCACCCTTGTGCTGGGACGTCTGGGGCCGCGCACTACGAACAAACAGCCCGTCGGATGCCTGCTCCTGCTGCGCAGCCAGGGTGGCGTGCATGCCTGCAGGGGAGGCCGATCAACCGACCCTGGCTGGGGCAGCCCTGGGCCCAGGATCGGCGTGCAACAACCAACGTGCTACCATTTGTCAGCTTCAAAAGAAGAGCAACAAACAAGGAAGGCGGGGGCTCTTGTGGCCAGGGTGAGCCTCGATCACGGACAGGTTGCCTGACCTGGCCTGAGGGACAGCCCGAAGACAAGGGGGCCCAGTGGCCCAGCCCGCCCAAAGGTCGCGCGGATTCGCTATCTGGGGCCCATCGCCGAAGCATCGGCGATGTGCTGCCGATTCCGGGTCGATGTTCCCCACCCCCCTCAGTCGGTCCCGCCCTTACGCCGCCCTTCAATTCAGCCAATGCGATGAAACAAGGATGAGTGTGTGCTCAGGAGCGGCGCCATCAAAAATGAACGAGCGCTCGGGTGTCGATGTATCCCCCCTTTACCCAATACCCTCGTGACGCTGCCCTTGACGTATGTGCCCTTCCCAACCCTGCCAGGCCGCCGGCGTGCAC